AAGAGTTGAGACCTCCATGATAAAGTTGAGAAGAGTTGAGACCTCCCTGATAAAGTTGAGAAGAGTTGAGACCTCCCTGATAAAGTTGAGAAGAGTTGAGACCTCCCTGATAGAGTTGAGAAGAGTTGAGACCTCCCTGATAGAGTTGAGAAGAGTTGAGACCTCCATGATAAAGTTGAGAAGAGTTGAGACCTCCAAGATAGAGTTGAGAAGAGTTGAGACCTCCATGATAAAGTTGAGATGAGTTTGAGACCTCCATGATAAAGTTGAGATGAGTTTGAGACCTCCATGATAAAGTTGAGAAGAATTGAGACCTCCATAATAAGGTTGAGAACATTGTGAGACCTCCATGATAACATTGAGAAAAGTTTGAGACGAGTTTGAGATCTCCATGACAAAGTTAAGATTTTGAGACATGATAAAGAAAAGTGTTTCAACACTGAAACAAAAGCTTCAGTGTGAGCTCTAAGTTAAATTGGTCAGGCTGTAGTTTTTAAATATTTTAGTAATCAAGTAACTTATGAAAGCTTTGGTCTGGTACCTACAGTAAAACCTGTTCTGGTGTGGGGGGTGTAAATGAATCCAAAGACTTCAGAAGAGACTGTAGGGATTTGCATGTGAGCTCAGTTTGCTTAAAAAGAAGCAATTTAACTTCTGTTTAAATGTTTGAGCTGTTAGTCTTAATTGAGGAAGCCATAAAAGAAGTTGTCTGGTCCCTTTCTTCAGAAACTGTTAGGATGCTGTGATCAGTAAAAGCCAGTATAATTTCACTGAAAAACCAATTTAACATACTTTTTGGGGAGACGTTTCAAAAATTGTCATGGTTGTTCAGCTTCTTTGTCTTTGACTTTCAGTTATATACTGCAGCAGCCTTACAGATCAGGCGTTTTTTTAAGCCACTTTTTAATATAACTAAGTGGAAACTCATTAAGCGTACTTTGACATAAAAAAGCAAAACGAAGCGTCTTCCTGGAGCTTTTAGGTGTTTAGCAGTTTAAGAATTCACTCAGCCTCAGCGGAGCGCCGTCACACCAGGTGTTCGCACAAAAACTCGGCTCTGCAGATGAATAACCGGCAGGAAGATTGATTGATGAGCGAAGGGTACGAGTCTCTGAAGCACAGAGCGACACTTCTCTGGATCTGAATCCACGTCGAAGGGACACGCTTCCCCGTTGGAGGCGAGCGGGTTCAGACGAGCTTTAACGATGTGGGAAATGACTCTGAGTGGTGCGAGACGCTTCCTGCTCTCACGCTTCGTGCGAGGAAGGAGAGGCGATGYTTGTGTTTGTGAAGCGGCGGATGATGGACGGCCTTCTCTGGATGACTCTGGGTCGCTGCCGCCAAAACTCTTTACAAGCGCTGGCCCGCTTCGGGAACAAATGGGTCTCTCTGCTAATCCACTTATACTGATAGTGGCTGTGTGTGTGTGTGTGTGTGTGTGTGCGTGTGTGTGTGTGTGTGTGTATGTGTATGTGTGTGTGTGTGTGGCAGATGTCCAGGTCAACAGCTGCATAGCGGCAAGGCTTGAGTCATTAAAAAAAAAAACTGGGAACGAAGTTTTGAGCTGATTCCAGAGCTGTTACTTAATAAACCCCGGTGATGGTCGTAAAGTTTTATCTTTCAGCTCATCCCTTGGAGGAAAACAGGTCCTGAAGATCAGCTGAATAAAGATCCAGCATCAGCTGAAGGAATACATGTCACCTGTCACACCGCCTGTTGTGGTCTGAGTCAGGATTCACACTTTAACCTTCGTATAGTAAAATGTTCGGCTCTTTCAGAACATCTGTTTAGTTTTAGTAACTTTTAAATTAACGCACGAGGAGGACTTGAAATAAAACGTTATGCCTTTTGAAATCCACCTGCAGATATTTTAAATTCAGCCTTTTGCTACGTTAATCTTTTAGCTACTGTTTTGCTCATCTTAGTTATCAGGTACTGTTGCTAATTTGAGCTTTTGGCTTCTGTTGTTGGTTTTAGCTGTTAGCAACTGTTTTGCTTACTCAAGCTTTTTGCTTTATGTTTCTAAGTTAGCCTTTTAGCAATTGTTTTGTTCAACTTAGCTTAAAGCTACTTTTTGCTAATTAGTAAATTTAGCTTCTCTTTTTGGTTTTATCTTTTAGCTACTGTTGCTGATTTATGCTTTGAGTTGTAGTTTCATTTTAGCGTTTAGCTACTCTTTTGCAATTTATTTTCAGTTATTGTTTTGCTAGTCTTAGCTTATAGCTTGGCTAATGTGATCTTTTACATTCTGTTGTTGGCTTTAGCTCTAAACTAAAATTTTGTCTGTTTTAAGTTATAGCTTCTGCATTGYTGATGCTAGCTTTTTGCTACCATTTGGTGATTTATTCTTTCARCTACTGTTTTGCGTAACTTAGTTGTGAGCTAGTGTTTTGGTACTTTGAGCTTTTAAGTCCCGTTGTTATCTTTTAGCTGCTGTTTGTTGGTTTTAGCTGTTGTTTTGCAGAGCTTTATTTTTGGTTACTGTTCTATTGACCTTAGCTTTTAGTTTTGTTATCTTAGCTGCTGTTTGTTGGTTTTAGCTATTGTTTTTCAGATCTTTATTTTTGGTTACTGTTCTATTGATCTTAGCTTTTAGTTTTGTTATCTTTTAGCTTCTGTTTGTTGGTTTTAGCTATTGTTTTGCAGATCTTTATTTTTGATTACTGTTCTGTTGATCTTAGCTTTTAGTTTTGTTATCTTTTAGCTGCTGTTTGTTGGTTTTAGCTATTGTTTTGCGGATCTTTATTTTTGGTTACTGTTCTGTTGATCTTAGCCTTTAGCTTCTGTTATCTTTTAGCTACTGTTTTATTGGTATTAGCTACTGCTCTGCTGATTAAAAATTTGWGTTACTGTTTTGCTAGGTTTAGCATTTAGCTCCTCTTGAAGGTCTTTATTCTGAGTGAGTGTTCTGCTGGTCTTTTAGCTTTAAGCTCCTGTTTTCCTCACAGACTGAGCTGACTCCAGTAGTTGATAGTTTAGCTCCTCAKGACCACGTGCGTCCACTCACCCTGCAGCCACAGCCCAGCTGGTAGCGATGGTTGAATCCTTTCTTCTGGGCCAGCGACAGCCGCTCCCACCTCTCGTTGAAGTTGCAGAGTCCTGTGTAAACCTTGCCTTCGTACACGCGACCTGCAGGAGCACAGAAAGAAAACCATGTCGGACCCTAGTTCCCAGACCTTTTAACTCCCAACCCACAAAACCATCACATCAAAGGCTTATAACTAGTTACATTTCTGGTTYAAATATTCATAAAACTCTGGACTGAAAGGCAGCGCTGAGGCCTTTAATCTGTTCAGAGTCCTGTAAGCCGGTAATAAACCAACACCTGTATTTCACAATAAATAGAAGTCGTCTATTTCCAGTGACGGAGCGTTCACAGCTCGACACTCCAGGGACGTGTGCTGCAGCTCRTTTTATTTTAGCAGTGATGTCATCAGGTGGGAATGCAACAATAACAAATACGTCTCTCTTCAACTCCCACATCGTGATTGCAGGAGTCGCACACGGACTGAACAGAACCTCTCAACAACAGTTAAAACCRGAGGCTCCTGTGTTTGAGCTTTTTGTTTATTTAATCTTGGTTTATTTGTAGGACTTGATGTAGACACTTCGTCTAAGGTGAAAATAAGTTTAAAAATATTTTTTTAATCTTCACAACTACCAAAAAAAAAATTGCAATTCAATGAAATACAGACCACTACAGAAGATCTTTCCTGCCCACAGCCATCAGCATCTACAATAAGTYTTTAGTTAAAGAGTTACATCTAATTTCCCTCTGTGATCAATAAAGTATTTTTGAATTTGAAATCAAAAAATTATAAATAAAACGCCCAACTGTTGACATTTGTTACCCCAAAAACTCATGAAATATAAAGTTTTTTACGTTCAGAGTTGGTTTAAAATGTTTAATGTCAGACTTGTAGTCTATTGTGTGAAATCTGAGTCAGCTTTTAGCTACTAWTATGCCACTTTTAGCTTTTTTGCATCATTATGCTTTAGCTAGCCTTTGCTACTTTGAAGTTCTAGCTAGTCTTGATACGTTTATTTAGGCTTTTGCCACTTTAAAWTTTTGGCTAACCTTTGCTGCTTATAGTTCCATTTTTCTTTAAACTTTTTGCTTTTAGTTGGCCTTTTGCTACTTTAGCTCCTATTTTCCTTTTGATGCTTTCAGCTAGCCCATTGCTACTTTAGCTTTAAGTTAGCACTTTGCTGTATTTACCTTCTAGCTGATGTTTTGCTGCTTTAATTTAGCCTTTTGCTACTTCAGCTCCTAGCTTCCCTTTTGATGGTATTAACTAACATTTTGCTGCTTTAACTTTAAGTTAGCACTCTGCTACTTTTAGCTTCTAGAATTTTATTGCTTGTTGCTCCTCTTTTGCTTCTCTAGCTTTAAGCCATCCCAGCTGCTAGCAAGTGTTTTCTACCATTATCTAGCATTTTTCCTGCTTTAGCTACTAACTTTCTTTTTGATGGTACTAGCTTGATTTTTTTTTATTTAGCTTTAAGTTGGCGCTTTGCTACTTTTAGCTTCTATCTAGAACTTTGTTGCCTTTTGCTACTCAGGCTTTTAGCCATACTTTATCTGCTAGCTGCTGTTTTGGACCATTAGCTATTTTTGCTAATTTAACTTWAAGTTAGCACTTTACTTTTTACTCCTCTTTTATTACGCTAGCTTTTAGCTATTATTCGCTAGCTACTGTTYTTCTATTATCTAGCATTTTGCTACCTGAAGCTTCTACCCGTTTGCCACTTTTTAACTTTTACCTTGTCTCCTGGTTGTTAGCTTCAACTCTCAGTATTTTTTAAAGAAACTGACGTATTTTTAGTTTGTTTTGGTTTATACTTCTGTCACTATATTATGTTAATATTCTGTGTTTTCTGCCGTTAAATAACCGATAAATGGAAGTTTAATGTTAAGATCTTCCTCTTTGTCTTGTTGATGATGATGATTGGATCATTATGTCGCTCAATAAAAAAAATCCTGTAATAATGGCAGAACTTCCTGTAGAAGCCCCGCCCCTCCTGGTTGTYGGAGCTCGATCAAAGGCACCCTCAGCTCCGACCGGAGGCCCCGGTGTTGGACCTGCTCGTTAACTCAGCCCCGGTTATTTCACAGGACTTAATATAGACGCCTCGAGAGCAGAGCGACGCTGGCTGATGTCACCCGGACTGGGCAAACACAGCAGCTGCTGCCTGGAAACGGCCCGGCTCGTTACAGTATTTCCAGGTTCGGGAATTAGCGGCACGTATTTAAACGGAGCGCCGCGGGGTCCAAAGTAAACGTTGGAAATAGCAACTCGTGAAAGGCTGGAGCTGGAAAACACTTCCTGCTGCCTGTTGATTTACAGGGAAGCCTGCTGGTTCTGGTTGGAGAAACTAAAGGAAATGTAATGTTTTATTTTGAAAGTCTCCTGGTGCAGGGGCAACAAACAGAAGGAAGGTTTGTTGTTCTGAGGGGCGACCCTGGTGGCTGATTCTGGCTCGTATAAGCAGTTAAAGCAGGACGAACTCACCTGTGATCAGGTACTGGTACTTGTTGATGTCGAACTTGACGCCACACAGACTCTCAGAGGCGTCCGTGTAAATGTGCTGCACGTGCTGAACTTTGTCAAATCCTTTGTACATCTGCAAAAGAGTCAACCGAAAGGAGGATTAATGTAATTGTTTTAGATTTAACACTATAATAATTTAAATTTGTCTCATGATGATCGTTCGCTCGCTGCAGAGCCTGAAGTCTGTTTCTGAGAACAACAGGAAATCCTGTTTAAGTTCTCCCAGAAAAACAAAACAAACTATTATTTTAGCCAGAAAAAGCAACACTGAAAGGAAGCCAGACTGATTCCTCCATTTTTTGTGCGTCTTTCTTATTTAAAATGAAACTATTTTCAGTACAAGTCAGTAAGTCCAGATGCGGTGCAGGACCCRGGCTGAACGGTTCCTCTTGGTGCGAGGAGTTTGGTTAAGCTGTAAGCCTGCTAATCCTCCGGCCTGGCTCCTGTCTGAGCAGCAGGCCCACATCAGCGTCGTCACAAATCTGCAGCATTATGTAAGAAGAGGAAAAAGGAGGATTTCAAGCCAAGTTTCCCAAACAGGCCGTGCAGCTGTTGCACAGCAGCTGAAGGAGGTGGAGGGACCCCAGTGTTTACCCATGATTCACCTGTGTGTTGCTGCGGATTCAGAAACTATAAATACTGTTTAATCATAATATTTATCCAGTGGTTTGTGTTGAGCATGACTCTCAGCTACTACCACCTCAGATTTAAATTCAGTATCTGAAAATCTGACGGGATTGCAGCCATTCTTGTTTTCAAAGATCAGTAATCTGTGGCGGCCATCTTTAAATCAAYTGACTCCAAAATTAAATCAGCTGTAGAYGTTCAAWTGATGATTTTATTAGGATTTCATGAGAGATTTTGTCAGAAAAGCGGGTTGTCACCAGTGTTTTTAGACGGTTTATTTTAGTAAAATACTGCAGCTCCAATGAGGATGACCCTCGGCTACTACCACACCAAATTTTAGTCATTGTTGCACAATTTCACTAATCCAATAATGCAAACTTTTTAGTGTTCTATTGATTTCATTTGAAGGTGGGCGGGATCATCATCACTTCCAAGTTAACCCTTTCAGAATAAAAGCATCTTCACATCAAGCTTGTATTTTTAAAAATAC